AATTGGTGAAGGCCACCTCTCCCATTTTGTCTCATTTACTGCCGGCCACCCAAGCACAGGGGACTAGGCTCCGCCCCGAGGTCCAACCTCTTTTTCCTTTAACGGAAAAATGACCTTTTTCGCCTATTTTTTGTTGACAAATGGTATCCCTTACACATACTAGTTTAGAACGCTACTTTCCTTTTAGCTGCTATGAATGCAACGTCTTTTTAGTAAATATGGCACAGACCGTGTTAGCCCCTTTGGGTCCTTTCACAGACCGCAATGACAGGTATTCTAACCTTTTCATACACTTCAACTAGTAAACCCCTAATGTCTGAGTTACCTGAAGCCTGAAAAAGCCTCCCCGTATAGGCCATCTTAAGGAGTACCCACCCCCCCCGCCCCCCTTCCCCACGCGGGAGGACGTCTTCCAGTTTTACGACTAAATTTTCCTTTTATCTTCTCAAAACAACAACATTTTATTACCAGGCAATACCTTAAGTGAATTACTTTTTGTCTTATAATAATAAGCAATTTTCTATGAAGGAGATGAAAGCGAGACTTTAGGGAAAAGCAAGATTTCGATGCCCTTGCTTCTCGCCTCTAGCCTGCGAACACAGAAGTATTGCTTCTCTCCATCCGGGTGGAGAGAAGCGTTGACCGCAAATTTGTCATCTTTTGTCCGTGTCCGCAGGCTATCTCGCCTCAGGTTCCAACGCCATGATAAACTAAAGAAGGAAAGCAGTTTAATTGGATGCTACGTAGGCTTCTCATGCGAGTTTGATTTGGGGGTAAATAGGGGCCATGGGGCACGTGAAGCTCTCTCTCTCTCCAATCCTCTTCAACTCACTTTTCTCATCGTCTCTTTGCCCTAGCCCCTCAGAGAACCTGCTCACAGACTATCAACTTATTTCTGACTCTCGACGTTTAAGAAAAGTCGGGGCAAACAGAATACAAAAACACTTGGAATGTGGGTTTGAAGGTGATCACGCGGTTTAAAGGCAATCACGTAGATGACTGCTAGTCACGAAACTTTAACTTGATTTTAACTGTTAGTGGTCACGCCCTGAAAATAAACGTTCGAGAGACTTGCCGAGTTACCTTCGGTTTGTAATGACCACAGCTGAATGCGAAAGGAAAAGGTATTAAAAATATTATCACATGATATAACCATTTTCAACAGCTAGGGTAGTTTTAGTAGCAATATCAGTAAAACTGCTTATCGATGAGCCACTTAAATCCGAAATGATCAAACTTTAGATACGATGTCCCTTATTTTAACTGTTTAGTTTTGTTTCACTCATTCAGTTTGCCCTTTTTTCTATTTCCTTTTGTTTCAGACTTTCTTTCTCCAGCTGTAGCCGTTTCAATAAGCCGAGCATAACTTACCTGAGTAACTCGGCAAGTCTCTCAACACGCATTTTTAGAGGGTGTCCACCACCAGGTTGAGAGTAGAAAATATTGACGATCTATCGATGAGCCACTCAAACCTGAAATGACCAAACTTGAGATAAGTTATACCTTCTGTTCATTTTCGTTTTATTCCTTGTAACACCTCACCGCACTATACAGTATTGTTACAGTTGTAATACATACACCAGAAAGGTGATTATGTGGAACTGTACTACAGCTATATATAATCGACAGTTAATCAGGTCAGTAAATCTAATATCCTTTCAGACAGAAAGTGGAGTCTGAAGCTAGAGACTGAAGTTTGTGTCGCGATTCTCAAGTCATCTTTGCTTTTCACCGAAAACGGCCGGTGAGCGATCATTTTCAATTCTTCGATTTTCTCCTCAGGCAATACAAGCTGTTTTTAATCGATATATTCGCAAGTGGCAAGTTATTCTGCAAACGAATGGAGAAAATATACAACTACACCACACTGAGGCTTTTATCGAGTTGAGAAAAATTTTCCCCATCATTTAAGAAGAAATCCACACTCAAATTCGGATGCGCATATTATTCTAATTATTTCCTTGCTGTGCTACAATCGGTGACAAAATTGTTGAGACATTGTACTCAAATAGGGTAACTTCAGAGAACAAAAGGATCTACCCCATTCCTCCCTCACCTCCATTCAAAGTTGGCGAGGGGTGTTCATTGTTTTCTATAGGTAGCTCGAACAGCGGCACTACATTGCGTGGGGGAGGAAAAGCTATATTATTTCCCCCTTTTGAAGTCAGTAAAACGTAAAAAAACCCAGTTTAGGGCAAAGTGTCTCAACTCATTTTGTCGCCGATCTTAGCTAGCTTTGACTTTTTGACTTGGTAAGAACATAGGAAGCCACCCAAGAATATTTTGCTCGCGATCCAATGAATGGAGTTTGCACGGCTTTAAACTTTTAGAGTGGGGAAATGTATTCAAATGTATGTTCATTACGATCGAACAATTTGAAGACAGACCAGCCAGCAAATGAACCAATTAGAGCCAAGGAATTAACCAAAACTATCTCCTATAAAATTTGGGCCAATCATGTTATAGGGTTTTTTTCGCAATGATCGCTGCAATTAATAGA